GATTCAAAAGTTGTTTTATGGTGCTAAAAAACAAACTATTGCACAATCTTTTGCAGAAATTGAATATATTCCAGCTGGATTAGCGACCCAAACAAACAATATGATTGAAGAGAATACCGAAGACATGTAGCCATTAAACATTTTATTCGATAATGAGTAATATGCTATATTAATAAATACTTGTATTAGAAACATGTATCTAAAATTTTGTAGAAGCATGCTAACATGAGTTATGTATCAGGTGATTAATTTCTAGAGAGCTCTATTATTCACTATAAATGATATTTCTCTACTATTTAATGTGCAAGTAAAAAACAAGAAGAAAAACTCTATTAGTCACTATAAATGAGATTTCTCTACTATTTAATGTGTAAGTAAAAAACAAGAAGAAAAAAAGAAATAAAAAAATATAATATTGCAATGTAATGGCAGTTGTGGACCATAACTTTTTTTAAATAGCCAACAAATTAATTCAAATAGCACCAGAGGTGCAAAACTGTACTACACAAACCATAAGCTGTTACGAAAAACAACACACCAGGACTAGAAGAAATAAGTTACAATTTGAAACATATATAACGACCAAACCTGCTTCTAAAACAAAATTATGGCAACAATAAAAATAGTAAAAGAAACCAACTGAGACAAATTAACCAGATCTAAGTGTAACACTTCAATTCTAACCGATAATTAATATAAAAATCAGAGTTATAAAATTTTCGACAATTGAATCAGGATGCTACAATTACAACCTAAAACAACGGCATTCATTGTAGATACATAATACATTAAATGCGAATGAACCAACAGTAACATAATTTAATCTTTTAACTCAGCAACTATCATAACTACGCAGCAAAATCATAATATTCAACTTAAAAAGAATATAACATCTTTATCCAACTGAAACAACTTCAAATAACAAATATTTAACGAACAACAACTTAAAATTCAATCAACTAATAAAACATCAAGCGTCCATCCTCCCGAGTGTTACGTATCAGAGCAATGACACCGACTCGAACTACTGAAGCTAAATCACCTCCACTCTGGATTACCTGCATGTTACCAACATCGGGGTAACATTCAAACAGAAGGGGTGAGATATCGAACAATATAATCAGATGTAAGATAAATATTACAATAGACTTAGTCTATGCAAAGTCACTACTTCACAACTTTAAACAACATCAATCACAACAAAACTTCAACGAACATAACAAATAATTTATCAACACAGCAACTCAAATATGCAACGTGGAATGTAACTTATTACCATGCACATTGTAATACAGTGGGAGAACTGACTTGAGTGTTTTGCATTTGATCGAAATTGTTGCGGATAAGAAGAGTCGCCATCCACTTTTCTTTTATCCAATAAAGGAAATGGTGAAAAGAACATGAAAGACCTTTTTGAGAATTTTCTTGAGTTCGGGGGTAGGTTATGAAAAGGGAAGGTGTTAGCACCCTTTTTATCCATAGTTATCTACGGACTCTTAGTTGCTATCTCACTTTGAAAATGTATTTGTAATTTGTTTGAAAGTATTTTCGAAAAGTGACTTCGTTTAGGCGAACTTTGTAATGATTCTTGTCTCTATAAGAATGTATACAAAGTGTTGGCTTTTGAAAATATTTCGTTTTTGAAAGTGTTGGTGTGTTTGAGAGATGTTGTTTTAAAAATGCTGTGGGCAAGCAACTATGAACGTTCTACCTACTCTAAAAAGTCTTAGTTCTTTTCCTCCTCCTTTAGATATTGCTACATTACCATTGATTGATAAGAACTCATATTATTGGATGTGAAGGGATAGACGCAAGTCAATCGTACAGTCATAGAAGACAACTTGTGAGACGCTTTAGAAACTTTCGTAAGGGACTAAGATTGTTTTACCGAAGGCAACATCGAGGGACTATGATATTTTTTATCGAGAGTCTTTGCTAAAGCGTCTCATATTCGAGGGACATGACTGTTTTATCTGAGGCAACAAGCGAGGTTATCCTAGAGGTGCGCGTGTGAAAAATGTGTTTGATTCAAGTTAATTTGTCTTTGATTAGGGTTATCTGGCGACTGATTTTAATCTTGCCATGCACGCCTAATTACTATACAATATAAAGAAAACAATAAATTGTGAAAATTAAAATTCTACACTATTACAAAGCTTTTGAGAATGGGGAATACAATTTTATAAATGGGGATGGATCAAATCGACAATGCGATTAAAAATATAAATAAACAAGCAATACAACTCAATCGAATAAAAAATGAACAAATATTTAAATTAGCACAATCTATAAAATTTATTAGCAAAATAAATAACACTATAGTATTTTTGGTATTTTTGTTTGTGAGAAATTTTAAAAAAAACAATTTAAAACTAAATAAAAAGTTAATTAATAAAATTATTCACAAAAAATCTCTAACTAAACTAATTAAGAAAATTTAACTAAATTAAAAAAAAACTATTTTTAATTTAATTGAGTTTTAAAATTAAAATTAAACCTAAACTAATTTTGTTATCAAATATGTAACAAAATTTGAAGATAAGACTAAAAGAATCAAGAAAAACAGAATAAAAGATCTAGCTAAGAGTTGAACCCGAATCCTCTAGGTTATTACAAACGTGCATTGTCAACTGAACTATATTACTTATCTGTTATAATTATGTTTTAATTAATATAAAAGGTGAATGATGAATAGGGGGATTGGGCCAACAAGCCCAATAGACTGACCCGATTAGAATTGAACAAAGAAAGGTTTCTTGAACCCTAGAACAAAGAAGCGCCGCATATGGTTTGTTGGAAAGGGAAATGGATTTAATATTATCACTGTTATTGGGAAGGCAAAAAATAGATTAATTAATATTATTGTCTTCCAATAAAACAAAAAAAACAGGAAAGCTGAAAAAGAACGCAATCCTTCTCTCTCAGAGCATCTCCAATGGTGCAACTCAATTTTGGGTTCTTTGCGGGACCCATTAAGCCACGTCAGCTTGAAGCGACCCAACTAGTTTTTCACTCCAATGGTGCAACTCTAAAGAACTCATAATGGGTCCCACAACTTTACTTTATATATTAATATTTTATTCATATTAAATTCTATATCATTTAAAATAATAATTTTAATTATTTAAATTAAAATTTATATAAAATAAATAAAATTCAAATTAAACTTATAATTTAAAATGATAATTAAAATTAATTTCAAATACATTACATATAATTAAAAACAATAAAAATAAATAACATCACATAAATTAATCAAACTTAAATTTCATCATCTTCATGTCCAAAACGTTCCCAAATATACTCGACTAGATCTCCTTGAAGTTGACGATGAACTTGTTTTTCACGAATATTTGCTCTTCTTTGTAGTCTTGTTGCAAGATTCGGATGAGGACCGCTAAATGTTTCAGTTGTTGAGTGATTGTTATCCACATTATCATAAGAGTAATCAAAATTACCTCCATATGTATGTCGTTCATCTTCAACAATCATGTTGTGCAATATGATGCACGCATATATGGTATGTTTGAGGGTGTCCATGTGCCAGGCACGCGCTGGGCCACGTATAATTGCAAATCGAGATTGAAGCACTCCAAATGCCATCTCCACATATTTTCTAGCAGATTCTTGATGTTGAGCAAATAATTTTTTCTTCTCTCCTTGTGGCATTGAAATGGTCTTCACAAATGTAGCTCACTCAGGATATATACCATCGGCTAAATAATACCCCATATTATATGGTGTTCCATTGATTGTATATTGCACATTGGGAGCATGTCCTTCCAAAATATCGTTAAACACGTTGGATTGGTTTAACACATTAATGTCATTGTTTGAACCAGCAATACCAAAAAAAGCATGCCAAATCCATAAGTCCTGTGATGCCACTGCTTCAAGCATGATTGTGGGCTTTCCATGATCACCTCGACAAAATTGTCCTTTCCATGCAACAGGACAATTTTTCCACTCCCAATGCATACAATCAATGGAACCCAACATACCTGGAAAGCCACGTGACTCTCCCATTTGTAAAATATGTTCAACATCAGTGTTGTTAGGCTTTCTCAAATACTCAGCCCCAAATACAGCATTCACGCCCCGAACGAATCTTTGTAAGCACTCAATTGAAGTGCTTTCACCTATTCGAACATATTCGTCTACAACGTCAGCAGGAGACCCATACGCCAACATACGAATAACAGATGTACATTTCTGCAATGGTGAAAGACCCATTTTACCAGTTGCATCAACCCTCATTTGGAAATATTCATCATGATTTCCAAGGGCATCTACAATTCGAAGAAATACATGCCTATGCATTCTGAACCTTCTTCGGAATTGAACATCTGTGTATACTGGGTTTTCTGAGAAGTAGTCATTGAATAATCGATTGTGCCCTTCTTCACGACTACGATCTACCATTGTTCTTCTCTTTGGCATAGATGAACTTCCAGATTGACGTTCATTTTCAAGCAATTGTTCTTCATCACTATCATCGATAAATTCTTCTTCAATTAACTCCTAAAATTCTTGGTCAAAATCATCTGAATTGTCTGAATCCATTTTAGTGAATTAAGAATTATAGAAAAATGAGAGAAGAATTAGAGAAGTATGATAGAAGAATAAGATGAGAATGGGAAAACAATGACATAAGTGATAGTATATATAATGGTTTGAATAGCGGCTAGTTTGAATAACGGCTAGTTTGAATAACGGCTAGTTTGAATAACGACTAGTTTGAATAAAGGATAGTTTGAATAACGGCTAGTTTGAATAAAGGATAGTTTGAATAACGGCTAGTTTAAATAAATGATAGTTTGAATAACGGCTAGTTTGAATAACGGCTAGTTTGAATAACATAATATTTATTATAATTTAAAGTGGTACTAATGACCATTTCACATAGGTGTTGATAAATTAAAGTGGTACTAATGACCATTTTACATAGGTGTTGATAAATTAAAGTGGTACTAATGACCATTTTACGTCAATGATACTAACTACATTCCATATTCTTTTTCCATCTTATTACAATATTTTTCATGAATATCTCGTTGATTATCATTCATAGTAGAAGTGTCTTTCATGATGATATTCATTGCCTTTAGTTCTAGCTTGTCCTCCTTACATTGAGCTAGTCTTTCCATTGCTGCTGCTCTTTTAATCCTTGCATCTTGCATTGCATTTGGAATTTCCTTTTCCTTACCCTTCCTTTTTGCTTCTTTTTGTCCCATTGGACGCTCCATTGGTGATGATGAGTTAAACTCATAACTTGAAGGTGTATTTGGGTTATCCGATGATGCCCCACTAGCAGAGCTCTTTGTAATTTTTGAAGAATTTCCAATCTATTCTCCCATCCATTTAGGTTCATCTTTTAACAATCGCCATACATACTCAAGATTGAATGTTGTACCTTCATCCTGAGCAAAAAAAGTATGTGCAGCAACCATGATATCGTTCTTCGATGTCCCACTTTTTTTTCCATTAACAGCTTGTTTGTAACAGCCAACAAATTTTTGAACCAAGCCATTTATTCGATGCCATCGACATTTTAATTGCCCGCCTAACTTTTTCCGCGATTGCCCACGATACTGGTTATAATTGGCAGCGATTCTTAACCAAAAACTCTCAGCTTTTTGATCAACTCCCACAATTGGATCCTTTGAAACATTGAGCCATGATTGGATAAGCAGTATATCTTCATCCCTTGTAAATTGCTCTCGAGATTTTTTTTAACGACAACCCTTTCTTCTTTTTCAGTACCAACTTGAGTAGAAACTGGTGGAACTTGACATCCGGACATAAACCCAATCAGTGTTTCCGGAAAAAATATGGCGGGGTTTGTTGGCACAGATGGAAATTGAGAATTTTGAGGATTAGGATTTTGATAATTTGACATGTAATTGAACATAGCTTGTTGATAATGAAAATGATTAGGATCCATTTGGCCTAAACAATTTTAATTTAAAGTAGGAAGATGATATTGTGAGAAAGAAATAAAATTATGAGAGTAAATTGTGAGAAATAAATAAAATTATGAGAACAAATTGAGAGAAAGAAATAAAATTATGAGAGCAAATTTGAGTATACAACTTATCACTTTATCATATTTATAAAGAAATAAATTATTAAAATAAAAAAAAATAAAAAAAGAACTGTTATGCAACGACTAGTTAATTTATATTATTTTTTTAATATAAGGACCGTTGCTTCAACATAATACGTTCTCCACTTGGAGAACTCTTGCAGCTACTTTATTTAACTTTAATGCTGCCAGGTGGAAAACTTAACATAAGAACCCAACATTGGAGCTGGTCTCACGATCCTCTCTCTCAAAATTGAACGAAACAAAAAGAAAAAGAACAACTTCATAGATCTTCAAAATGGACCCTTCGCCGACAGAGAGTGTAAGGTGGTAGACTGAGTGAAGTCAGTGATGAAAAAGAATGGGCTGTGGGTGGAAGAGAGGAATAGGATGAAGGGAATGGCTTACGGTGATGCTAGCGGATTGACGGTTTAAGCAGTGAGTTTCAGTGGGTGTTATCGCGTGTGGCTAGAGCTCGTGGAGGGTGGCACAAAGAGAGCTAAGGGTATGTGCGTATGGTTCTATTTTCTATGGATTTTTGTGCATTCTTTATTTCTTTTGAACGAAAGCTTTCTTTTTGCAGGGGGCGGTGAGTTCAATACCGATGAAGGATTCTTCGAAGCAGATCTTGGATAATAGGCCATCGTCAATGGACTTGGGGCAAATTTCTTCATCGTTTAAGAGAATTTTGCACTCGTGTTAATCTCGTGGTGGTGTTTGTTACGATAGAAGGTTGAACTGTTGTTATTGCGTTTTTGTTAATGGTTTTTGGTTGACATAACTATAACCTCAATATCAGGGTCTGGGTTACCAGGGAGGTTCAAAACTGTTTCATTGTTGATGATATTACGGTTGCTGCTACTACTAGAACTCTGGCTATAGCGTGGTGAAGGAAGAGGTAGGATGTATGGATAAGGTTGAATAATTATATAATTTCTAATTTCTATTGTTTCTAATGTTTCCAATTCTGTTTTTTTTGGTATAGTTTAACAGTTACGACAATAAGAGCAAAACAATAGCATAAACAATAAAAGTTCAACAACCAATCAAGGCAACACAAAGCAACAATATACTTACGAGACCAGAAAGAGAGGCTTACAAGATTGGAGCTTTGTGAACGATTATTTTGAATGATTCTGAAAATTTGTTGAAGCTTGATTGAGGTATTAGACTGTTTTTTGTTTTGAATTTTTATGTACTGCTGCCCCTTCCGTCTGCTTTCGGTTCCTTAATCGTTCTTCCAAGTGACCAAACAACAACAACCTCACTTAGTTTCCAACTCAGCCGAAACAACAACAAAACTTATGTTTTCATTTTGTTCCTTATTCAAAGGTGATGGAAAGCGGTAGTGAGAGGGTTGAACGATTGGATTGTGAACAGAAAGACAAGTTTTATATTTTTCTGATTTGTGTTGAATAAATTTCTTTTTTTTTTGTTTGTTTTATATCATAGTTTTTATTACTTTGCTTGTTGTATCAATCTTATAGTGGAATAACTGAGGTCTTTTGGGGGAAAAGTAGACAAGCTTTTGAACAAATATGATGTGTTGTTTTTATACTTTTGGATGCAGGCTTTCTGTTTTGCTTATTTGGTGCAATTCTTGGATTTTATGGTACAAATTTTTTTTGGATTGTATTGACAGGTTGTTTATGCAGATTTTAGCAGGTAATTTTTGGACTGGCTTGTGGAAAAATTCGGTAGGTATTGGCAAGGTTTTGTGTAATTTGTAGCAGGGACTGTTTTGGGCAGTAGCACATTGGAGGTTTTGTTAACTGTTGCAGCAGTGATAAAGACCACAGTTTGGCATTGGATGAGAAAAGCTTTAGGTTTTAACATAGATTATAGGCTTTAGGCATGAAGACAATTTGTAAAGGTTCTTTTAAAAATTGTAACACCACTTGTATTTGTAAGGTTTGGTAATCCTTTGAATTCAATGACACATTCTAAGTTTCATAGTAACTTTATCTTTGAATCACTTGATTTTTCTTTTGTCTTTGAAATAGATCACCATGCCTTAAAATCTTCAAATAGCCGAATAACTTTGGATGAGGCTTAAAATGCTTGGCATTTGAACTTGTTTTGAAAATGGAGTATGGGAATCGAATGAATCATGAACATTGATGGAACTTGCTTGATATTTGAACGACTTTAGAACTTGTAGTATTTCATCTTTGGGTAAACTTTGATGAACCAAATCGATGAATATCTTTGAGTGATGTCATGACTTGTTACTTTTACCGATGATTTCCACGTTTCATCAAGCCATGGTGTAATGATTTTGAATTTGAATGAATTAAATCATGAAATTTATGGACGGGATTTGAATTCAAGTGTATGCCTAAATACTTTCTCATGAATGAACTTGAATTAATGGTGAATTTTTGAATAATTTTGAATTGCAATGCGACTTAAGAAAAAGTCTTGCATTTGAATAATGATGTGCTTGAAAATAAATGAATAGCCATAAACTTTGAATTAGGTTTGACAATTTGATCTGGTTCATGTGATTTAGAGCAACCATAAATCAAAGCATAACTTTATCATCATTCCAAAGCTTAAATGAATTTGAGCAAATTTTAGTGAACTCGTCCTTTGACACCTTGAATTCAAAATAAATCCCGCGAATGAATCGTAGAAAATATGGGCGAAACTTGTAGTGCCTTTCTAACTTGAATTGAAATCCAAAACCATTGTTCAAATCACTTTCACCAAGATCCTGGATCAACTTTCAACACGACGACTTGTATTATAAGCAACATCTTGTTCGAACTCAACATGAATCTCCAAACTCAAAATCTTGTTCCATGAACGATCTCAACATGAGAATCATAGCCTTTCAAGGTCTTCTAAACACAATTTTACTTTGATTCTTGAAAAGAACTTGTTGACGACATCGCTTATGAGAATATGCAAAAATAATCATCTCAAGATCTTGAAAATTTGGGAAATTACGATTCTTAGAAGTCAGGCATAGTTACTTGAGATTAGATCAAAATCCAGAAAGTGACCTCTAAAGCATTCAAATTTCTGATGATCTTTCACACGTAATCAGTTCTTGACTTGTTAAGAGAAATTGGAGATGACGTCAAGGAGAATCATACGCAAAAAGAACTACTCAAAAATATCGAATAATGAAGAAGTTACAATTGTTTGAACTTGATCTTGGAAAGGTCGACTTTTGGGTCAACACAATTGATTTTCAGTCATCTAAACCATTGACTGAGTAAACTTGCGATGCAAAGATTTAAACTTGGCACGAGTATCCTTGAGAATACATGAAGAACCATGAAGACCATTTGAAACCTTGAAGACTCAATTTTTCTTGAGAAATACCAAATCCTAGCTGTGGACCTACTGCTTAGGAGGAGAATCCGTCTGATCAAATCCTGAGCCATTTTGAGTATTTGAGAAACCCTAGGATAACATCTTGAATGAAAAATGAGAGGGAAAATTTTAGGGTACAACACACATGCATGTGGTACCAATGGAGAAGAACTCCCAACTTAGAAATATTTCTAATTAATAGAGGCAACAACAAGGCATAAGCCTTCAACTTAATATTTTGCCAATCCAGACCAACTTAACGAGCATCAGCTCTAACATAAAATGCTATGTATGCGACAACATAATTAAATGCAACATTAGAAACAACATATAACAACATTGGCATAATCCTACAACTCTATAATTTCCAATAAATAGAGGCAACACCATAAAATTCATCGCCTGCAACTTCAATAATTAGTAACAACAACAATAACATAACAACTTACACATGCCAATAATGTTATTAACACGTTCCTACTAAAGTACTTCCACTAAATTATCCTGCTACCAATCCTCATTAATAGTTTTCTGCTAAATTGATGAAGCTATTATTTTCCTGCTACTTAAATTATCTCTACTGCTGCTATATTTTGGTTACTACTGTGTCTGTTATTTGCTAGTAGCTTTGCAACTAAAAACCATACTAGTTACTAATTCTGTACATTATTAATCTCGCCTAATATATTATACTAACCTACAAATTGTTTGCTTATGTTACTAATAAATAACTTCTACTGCTATTCATTCTTTTCTAACTATACTACACCTTTTTCTGTGACTAAGCTACTAAGTAACAAACACGCAATCCAAACACAAACAATTAAAAGGAGACACAATAATTGGGTTTGTGCCCCTCGGCAGGCTAGCCATGCCCCTCGACACAAAACATGGTACCGGTCGGCACCCTTTCACGATAACCGTCCTAGCTGTTGTACCCGTGCCCCTCGTCACACTAGCCTTACCCCTCGGCACAACTTGCTTTCACGCAACCCTTCACAGACTTCAATCTGTTACTAATACCAACGCAAAATCTTCTAGTTTTTCCTTCGGTTACAGGTCTCATACCAAAACAATATATGTATGCAGCAACATCAATTTTTCACCGAAACCACAACTTTACAGGGATGACAATCTTTCCCAATTAACCACATATATTAAGCATATAACCTCCATTAATCACATTAATCAAAGATATTACACGAATTACAGAAAAACTCCCACATAATATTAGTCATATACCCAATTATAGAGTCAGAACCCCACCCTTACTTTGGATTGAAGGTTGCTCTATGATTTTCCGACCGAACCCCGCTTTGCCTCTTTTCTTCTTTGCTCTGCAACCTCTAGGTTCTCTTTCTCTCTTCCAACCCTTATTCCTCTTCTTCTTGACAAAAACCTATTTTTCTATTATTATAACTAAACTCAATAGTATTATTATTTCTATTGGGCTCAACTTACTGTGATACGGTGGGAGAACTGACTTGATGTTTTGCGTTTTGATCGCATTTGTGCGGATAGCAAGAGTCGCCACCGACTTTTCTTTTATCCAAAAGGAAAGGTAAAAAAGCACAAGAAAGACCTTTCGAGATTATTTCTCGGGTTTGGGGGGTAGATTATGAAAAGGGAAGGTATTAGCACCCTTTTCATCCATGGTTTTCCATGGGCTCTTAGTTACTCGTTTAGATCACTTGCTTTTATTTTGACAGTGTGCTTGTGGTGTGGGCTTTGTAAATATCTTGAAAATGTCTTTGTAATGGTTCTTGTTTCTATAAGAACGCGTACAAAGTGTTGTTTCTAAAAATAGTTCAAAGATGTGTTTGTGTAATGTATTTTTGAAAGTGGTTTTGAAAAGATGTTTTGTAATGGTTCTCGTCTCTATAAGAACGTATACAAAATGTTTTGTCTTTTGAAAATGTTTTGAGATGAAAGTGTTGGTGTAAAAATGTTTTTGTCGTCAGCAAGCGAGTAACTAGGAGCGAATCTACCTACTCGAAAGGTTTTCAATTGTTCTTTTCTTCCTCCTTTTAATGTTGCTATCTTACCATTAATTTGGTAAGAAGCCCCATCGTTGGATGTGAAGGGACAGACGCTGGTCAATTTTACAGTCATCGAAAGCAACTTATGAGACGTTTTAGCAATTTTTGTAAGGGACAAGATCGTTTTATTGAAGGCAATGTCGAGGGTCATCGAGGGACTACGATCTTTTTTATCGAAAGGTCATTACTAAAACGTCCCATATTCGAGGGACATGACTGTGTTTCCGAGGCAACAAGCTCGGTTACCCTAGAGGTGCGCATGTGAAAAGTGTGTTCGTTTCAAGTTATTTTGTTGAAATTAGGTTATCTAGCGATTGATTTTATGTCTTGCCATGCATGCCTAATTACTATACAGTATAAGGAAAACAGTAAATTGTAGAAATTGAAATTCTACGCTATTACAGAGCTTTCGGGAATGGGGGTACGATTTTTTTACAAATGGGGATGGATCAATGCGATTAACAGTAAAAAATAGGCAATCAATACAACCAAACCGAATTGAATCAAATAATTATAACCGTCTAGGA